TCCTGATAGTAAAGAATTACAATAGTCCAGCCTTGAAGTAACAAATGCATGAAAAGGGCAAATAAGGTGCAGCAAATAGAAAAAATAAATCACACTGTTTGCCATCTCTTCTTCCTCTCATCAAAACACCTAAATTATTCAGACTCCAACTTTTCCCATGTGTTCTCTGTCTTCCCCTCATCAGCTTTATTGACATGTTATGTTTTTGGATAAATTATTGAGATGGTTTTATCACTCCGCACCAGTCACGGTTCCTCTTTATCAAAATTGATATTGGACAAGGTTGAAGCTTGGAAAAGTCTAAAATGTAACTATTTACAAGTTTGGATTAATTTGTGAAAATGATTTGTGTTTCTAGACATTGGGATAGAGGATGACTCCTAAGAGTCACAGCAATCCTCCACAATCATCCATTCGTTTCATCCATTAATTCATCTATTCATTCATGATAAACCGCTATAATTATACCCAAGAAAACACCCCCAAATAGAATAAGATCTTCTGATATCTGACAGTGAGAAATTATTTACGTTCTCACAGGAACAGTGAGGAAGGCACACTGTTTGTATATTTTAGTGTGAAATCTGTCGCCCCCTTCTGGAGACATGAGGTGCTACACTAGCCTCTGTATAAACAAATGTCACCCAGGGAAGAAATTAAATGATTTGTTCTTTTTTAATGTTTAAGGTATGAGAGGCAGCAGGCAATACTGAAGGACGAGCTGGCCAAGATGGCGGAAAGAGAGAGGGAGGCAGCGAGGGAGGAGGTGGTGAAAGCCATGAACCGGGAACGACAACAGGCGCGCCAGGAAGTGCAGAGGGCCAAAGAATTGGTACAAACACTCATTCACTCATCATTCATTCACTCATAGATGCAGCTGATATTTGTTTTTATGTGATCTGAAAACATCTTAACTTGCATGCTTTGTTATAGAGTGTTTAAGCTAAAACGCTTTGATACATCAGTGCTGCAAACACTCTGCATGTCCGAGCTGTTTTATAGTAGGTCAGCTGAATAACTTTTAAACATGAAGGTTTATATGAATAACAAAACATTTTTAGGAACATTAAGTGACCAAATTACACTCACAAGTAATGCATTTGCTAGGTTTGCATTGGAATTCATATATGTGTATAATGATGATTTAAGCTTAGAAGTCAGAGGAAACGCCTGCATTTAAATAACAGTTCTACTGATTTGCTGCAGGAAATTTACAAGCTAGAAAAAAGACATCCAAAAGGTTTGACTGATTAAATTTATTTCAAGAAATGGGCAAATCGATAAATCTGTAACTTATTTTTTTGATTAATTGATTGATAATCGCTTTGACATTAAATATTAAAAAGTTAAAAAAGACCAAACAAAAAGTAGAAACTAGAGAGCTATTGGTCAGGCTGCCATCTACTACAGCGCTGGAAATCAAAAGGCGACTCTTTAGCCTCTCTATAGCCTAGTTAGTGATTCATCAGTTACTAAGTCAATTGATTCCAGGCATCCCCAAACTCGGTCCTCAAGGCCCCCTGTCCTGCAGGTTTTAGAGGTTTCCCTGCTCCAGCACAGCTGATTTTAATTGAAAGCTGATTAACAGGCTTTTGGTCTACTGCAATTATTATAACCAGCTGTGCTAAAGCAGAGAAACCTCTAAAACCTGCAGGACAGTGGGCCTTGAGGACCGAGTTTGGGGATGCCTGGATTAGACGATTATTTCAGTAATCAAGTTAATCAAGATTAATTCGATTAATCATTTCAGCCCAACCCGATATGTTTTCATTACTAATACATCACCAATATCTTAGGTTTGAGTATCGACCAGAACCATTTCTGACCCGATAAGACATGAGCTTTGATCATACATACTTTTGTTTCTCATTTTCTAGTTTGGATTGTTAGAGAAAGTTTGATCAAGTGATTTTAAACAGAAAACAATAATCAACATTAGTATGTATGAGAACAACTGACAGTTGTGTTAATAACTGACGGACATTAAAGAGAAACAGAGGGTTTCTGTCAGTTTGCTTATATCAGAGATTTGAGATGCAGGATGATTTATTTGATACACCTTTTTTGGATAGTATAAAAACATTTTCTGATGTCGGTATTGGCTAAGGACATGCTTAACTTTGGAAAAAAAAAAAACTTGGTTAAAAACTTAAAAACACACAAGACTGCAGCAGAAGGCCCCCTACTGTAGCCTGACGTAGTCCGACTCAATTCTAGGCAGAATATGAGTCTGATACTGCTCCATAGAGCTGTGATTATGGGGCGTGTTTCGAACGAACCAGGAAAAATGCCTCTGCACTCAATTGGATAGACCTACAACCAATAAGAGCAAC